CAACAGAAATTTAATTAATTTAAACCTTTTAAAGCAAAGTGTCAGTTCCAATACTTGTTCATGATATTTAATTAAAAATTAAATGTAAAATATGCCAAAGGTTGAAAATCATTCCCTTTTAGGTTCTCTATTTTGACCTTTCTCTGCATTTGTGTCAATGTGACATTTTTGCTCAAATTCAACCTTGACATCTCTCATTTCTCCACGCAAGCACAATTTGACTAGAGATACTGGTTTTCAATGTCAATATTATATGGCTTCAAATTGCTTCCATTGTTTGTGAAACCACATGCATAGGATTCGTCATGATAATGTTTCTTAGAAACAAACTTCATGCAAGAATTACATGGAAATTAAAAGAAGTTTTAGATATCTGGCAGACTGTCCATTTCAAAATGAAGATTACAAACATGTCAATATGACTTGGGGTGGGAAGGGGAAAAGGATCTATGTGGGTTTATTATTAGTGACCTATAAAAGGCCTGGAAGAGATTTATGCATTCTTCTATAAATCTGGTTGTCTCTTTCAGTTGGGAGGCAGTCGTGGCCATGGCACATGGAAAGGGATCAATAAATATTAGTTTAGTGGTTATAAATGTGTCTCTAGGGACAGACTGCCTAGATTCTAATCCTGACTCCATCATTTGCTAGCTACCTGAACTAGCTTTGCTTGTGTCTCCATCCAGGGAAAAATTAATTAAAAAAAAACAATTATGTCCCATAGGGTTGTCATCAAATCTATTTAAGTAATTGCTATTATTCGTCTTTTGTCTTTCCAAGGCTGCTGACAAATAAACTTAGCTACAACTCCATTAAAACGTTGGTAGTAATGATATTTATAATTTGATGTCTGCACTTGTCTTGCTTTTTTAGAAATGGTATAATGTGGCCAGGCATGGTGGCTCACACCTGTAATCCCAGCATTTGTGAGGCCAAGGTGGGCAGATGACCTGCAGTCAAGAGTTCGAGATCAGCCTGGTCCAACATGGCGAAACCTGGTCTCTACTAAAAATATAAAAATTAGCCAGGTGTCGTGGTGATCACCTATAATCCCAGCTACTCAGGAGGCTGAGGTAGGAGAATCACTTGAACCTGGGAGGTTAAGGTTGCAGTGAGCTGAGATCATGCCACTGCACTCCAGCCTGGGCAACAGAATGAGACTCTGTCTCAAAAAAAGAAATGGTACAACATGGTACCCCACAATTGCTACCCCAGAAAAACAATTTAAAATTATCTTGAAATATATTGAATAGTGATGAGCACATGTAAAATCTGTAAGGCAAAATTCTGTACCTGATTCTTTAAAACATCCCTATGATCCCATATACCAGTAGTCCCAAACTCTGTCTACCATAAAGATTACCACATGTGGGTAAGCCAGTTCATTGCACTGTTTGAAGAGAGAGGCTGCATCTGAGCTAGAGTCACTGATGCCTTGTGGATGCATGCCAGATGTCTGCCAGAGTGTTTAAATTTTCAAGAGATGCCAGAAGTTGGGAATTTTTTTTTACATGACATTTCTCAATTTTAAAATTTTGATTCAATTTATTTTTTGGTACAAAACTCCCTGGATCCAACAATACACAATCTTTACCATAAATATTTACACTAATACATATATACTAGTACACTGTGCTATTATTCAAAGCAAATGTTTTTGAGGCATGAATAAAAGATGAGGAAGACAAAATATGAAAAGGTCTTCAGAAACTCACTAGTGTAGCAGAGAGATAAGCAACAATGACACAGAAGAGAGTGAAAAGTGTCACAGTAGAATGTGGAAGTTAGAATTTAAGCTTCGTGGTTAGGATCAGGTCTGCATTAAACCAACAAAAACAAAGAATCCCAGTATCTCAAAGCTTGGCCAAGGGTGGACACCCAAGTAGATGGCTCGTTTGTTTAACAAAACACCTTAGTGGGTTTGCGGGGGTAGGAGCTATGCGTAGACAGGGCCACAGCCTTACACAGTTTCAGGGGCCATCATTTGTGTTTGTTATCTCCTGAGCATCATTCATATTGTATTCTTTGTGAATAGTACCCCCTGGAATTGCACAACATGGTGATTGTGTCAATAAAGGTGGCCTGGAGTCTGGCCTGAGATGAGGATTGAGAGTTAAATCCTTCTACATGATAAAGTAACAGGAATTTTAAGTTTTTCTTAGCGGGTAGAGGCAGGCAGGTAGAGGGATGCCTGGAATGGACAAAAGAAAAGGGTTGAGAGAAAAGACATCTCTAAAATGAGGATGGGCCGGTAATTTGGCAAGAACCTGGAGCTGAATGAGCCTGGTAAGAGATTCCTTGTAATTTTTACAAGAGGTGCATACAATCTCTGTCATCTTCTGCCTCTAGGAGACATTGGTCAATGAAGTCAAACACCTTTTACTTTAGCGCTCTTCTTTATGAATCAGGAGACAAATGGGAAAGAAGACTTCACTGTCCAGGATCACACAGCAACAATTGCCCAAACATACAATGCCTTAATAACTTGCCTTTTTACTGTTTTTCTTTAAAAAGCTCAAAGTATGTACATTTTCATTTCCTCATTTGTTCTGACATTCCAGCGTGGGCAGGGCAGATTTATGATAACATTATTTATAGATGGAAAATCGAAATAGAGATTAAATCGCTTACTCAATGTTGTATAGCTGGGGTGGTGGAGCCCACACTGGAATTTGGTCCTCCAGGCTCCAGCCACGAAGTGGAAAGGACACGAGTTTTGGAGTTAGAGGGATCTTTGTTTGCACAATCCTGATTCTGCTCCTTAACAAGAATATATGCTTAAGTCAATTACTTCACCTAAGTCTCAGTTATCCTCATCTGTAAAATTAAGACCATAAAACCTCATAGCAATGTAGTGAAGATTAATTCAGAAAACACACATGTAAAGCCTTGGCAGAGAGTAATTCTCAAATAAGATCAGTTCCGTCCCCAACCCAGTATTATCTAGTTAAATTTCAGTACAAATTTAAAGTAATCAAAATGAATCCTTCATTATAGTAATTTTTTCTAGCGTCATCTTTCACTGAGAGCAAAACATGAATAAAAATGCTTCAATGGGTCATTTAATTCAACAGGAAAAACTTTTGCTCCAATAAGGGTTATCCCTATAGGAAATAATTAGAAAAAAAGAGGCATATGTAGACGACAAGATATTAGTTCTTAATATCTTATGCAGTAGTTCTTAAACTTGACGGTGTATTAGAATCCCCTGCAAGGTCTGTTAAAACACAGATTGCTGGGTCCCACTCCAGAGCTTCTGACTCATAAGGTCTGGGGCAGGACCCAGTAATGTGCATCTGTAACAAGTTCACAGGTTATGTTGAGAGGCTTAGTCGGGGGGCTTCTAGGGGTGAGGGCCAGCAATCTGTTTCAACAAGCCCTCCGCATGGTTTTGGTGCACTCTCAAATTTGAGAACCACTGGGATAGTGACGAAAAGCATCTGAGAATATGGCTGTAAATTCGAATGCAGACTGCTCCATTTACCAATTAGATGACCAGATTAAATGACTAACCTCTGCATCCCACACAGAGCCTGATAATGTCTGTGATGCAGGATTCCTCTCACTAGCCCTTTAGGCCTTGAGTGAAGAAGAGACGTCAGTGAGTCTTGCCAACCCACGCTGTTTTTCACTTCTTCACACTCTGAGGCACTAAAGGCTGCTTAAATTTGAATATCATGGAAGTATTTACAAACACTTCCGCGATCACAAAAATAAAATAAGACAGCACTGTAAATAAAGCCAAGAGCAGTGGCATTGTTGGCATCTTAAATTGGTAATAATAGGTTTCAACTTTTTTCATTTCCCCTGCCTTTCATAGAAAAATAAAAACCTTCCCCCACAGTTTCAAGAGATGTTAGTACATTTGTTTTGCAGATAGTATACATGCTAAGAGGCTTTTTTTTTCTTTCCCTGCATCTCAGATACAAAATCTGCCTCAGATATTTGGTGCCTTTCTGATTTTGTGGCTGAGGAATCCTCCCCGCCGCCCGCCCCTTTCCTTCCCTTTTCCCTGTCTGGTATGTAACTCTGTGGATCCTCATACTATCACTGCACGGAGCTTCACAAGCACCTTTATTTTTCCAGTTGTAAAAACCTCTACTCTTGCTTTGTTATCTCCTTAACTAACTTTTGCTACTGCCTATTGCTGATGAAGTGTAAGAATCGTTGACTTTTATCCAGTGCCAGACACTCGGAAGTGTTTATCATACATTATCATTTTGGATTCCTACAATAGAGATGATTTTACAACTTGCCAGGGTGAAAAAAGAAAAGTAAATAAAAGGATCCAAGCAGAAAGATTCCAGATCCCCACCCTAACCCTCCCACCCCCAGCTCTAGCCTCTGTTCAAGTCGCCAGTGATGGCAGAACATAGGAATATAGTTTGAGTCCTGTCTATAAATAATTTTAAAATCTTGTTATTGGTAGATGAGATTGACACACATGAATTAAAATAAAATCACGAAGCCAACGTTTGTATCTTTGACCGTTTTTTCTCCCCTGCGAGAGGTAGATAACAGCAGCAACCCTGAGGAGTTTGGGGACGGCTAAATAAGTCAATGCACCCGGAGGGACTTAATACAGTGCCTACCACGTCGTAAGCATTCAGTACATCTTAACTGTTCTCAGTTATGTTTTAAAAGAGGCAGCTTGGAGCGTGGAGTACACGGAAGGGAGCAGGGAGGCCGGCTGCGTGCCCTGGATTCCTGGACCTCAATTCTCCGAGCCTCGGTTTCCTTATTTGTAAACTTAGGTGGCTGGAGTGAAAAAACTCGACCAGCAGTTACAGCAAAGGGTGCAGCTGTAGCCCGGGGAGCCGGGGACACCGAGGAGGCGCGGGTCGGAAAGGGTTAGTTAGCTAAGAGCCCAGAGGCTGATTTGTGGGCGCCGGGCGAGAGAGGCCCCGCCCCGCCCCCGAGGCCCCGGCGGCCCTGTCAGCTCCAGCCTGAGAGCAGTTCCGGTGCCAAAACCCTTCCCTCCCCCGCTCCCCCGGAAGTGCTTTCCCAGGGTTCGGGCCGGAGAGAGGCCTTGTAGGCACAGCGGCTGCGGCTCGATCCGCTCCAAGCAGGGGCTCCAGCTGGGTCGGAGTCCGGGGGTCAGGCCCGCCGACCTGCGCCCTGCTCCCTCTCAGCACCTGGGAGACGGTGAGTGGCCAGGCAAAAGGAGTGGGACGGCCGCGGGCCCGCGTCAGGACTGGCGTTCTCGTGCCCCCGCTGCCCGCTTCGAGATCCGGGCTGAGGGCTCGGCCGCCTGGGTCCGGGGAAGTGGGTTGTCGACCGTCGCGGACTTCTTCGGGCCAGCTGGGCGGGAAGAAGCGGGCTGTGGGTCCCGGGGGTGGGCGGGGCGGAGCCAGGGAGGGGGTTCCCAGAGCTGTTGTTGCTGTTGGGACTCGAGAGTGGGGATGGGCTGGGCCTCTGTCCGTCCGACCCCCTCATGCGTTGCTCTCCCAAACCTCGGCGCTCCCCAGTTTGGTTTTCTGCGTCCCGCCTGGGATAGTAGCTGGACAACAGACTCAATCTTGGGCTCCAGTTCCCGACTTTCGCCGCCTCTGAGTCTGTCCCGGGCTCAGTAATTAAACCAGGTCCTAGGGGTGTCGTCTTTTCACTTCAGGGTGGGGCGCTGCCTCTAAATGCCAGGGATCTTTTGCAGGGCTTTTCATCCAGATCTGCTTCAGGGTGGTCCGGGATCGATTTGGACTAGGCTCGGAACCGGTTCAGGATCCGTAGGTCATGGTGGCACCAGCATGCTCTGTATCCTCTTTACTCGCTTGAAAGCTTACTGAAGCTGTTGTTGAAGTAAACTTTAAAAGAACAAACAGCTTGCTTGAGGAAAATCATTAATTTAGACAAATCCACCCCTTTTTTGTAAAGGTATTTTTTAAAAAAGATGCTATTCTGCTGTTCTCTAATGTACACTGTTAATTCCTTTGGCTATCCGATGTCACAGTTGTATGATGAGTTCATTCAGAGGCTGTACGACTTGATTGCAAAGAGTTGGACAATTACTATATCCTTTCCCGTGTAGTTTTATATTTAGAACTGTCATTTTTCCTAAAAATTGTTGATTTTCTTGAGAGAGTCCTTACACTGTTAAAATTGTTGCTGCAATGCAGAGTTCCACAAAGGTGGGCAGAGTGTTTTGTTTGTTTAAACTTACTCCATGAAATGTTTACTTCGGACAAAATGAGGATTTCCTAGAGAAAAAAGTGATGTAGGTAGGTTTGGTGAACAGATTTTAGGTAATAAACTACTGCTGATAGGTTCGTAGGAAATACGGGTTTTCCACAATAAATGCTGATTTTAAAACTATTTTTATAAGGGAATGCAGTTACTGCAGATTATTGCTTTTAGCAGATGGCCACTGTTTTTGCAGCGTAAATAAAGTATACACAAATCACCTTCTGGAAATCATTGACACTATCTGCACCTCTCATCTTGTGTGAAGATTAGGATTTATACTGTAGTTTTTTTGGGTACTTATGTCATTCTCTTTCCTCCCACCCCTGAAAGGGGAGGTGGTATCATGAATCAGGAAAAATAGACCTAAGTGACAAGTTCAGTGAGCTTTCTTATGCAAAGGAAAATTCATGTCAAGGTTGTTGATTTTCAACAGGCAAAGGACAGGTGATTTTTAAAGTCCTTGGAAAAAACCGTGGAGAGATTAGCTCCACAGCTTTTCTTTTTCCGTTTATATTCTTTCCTCTTCCTTTCTTTTTTCTTCTTTTCCAGACGACCTCATTTTGCTGCCCAGGTTGCTGCACAGTGGCACCATCCCAATAGAGCTCACTGCAGCCTCCGACTCCTGGGCTCAAGCAAGCCTTCTGTCTCAGACTCCTGAGTAGCTAGGACGTCAGGCACCAACCACTACAACTGGGTTAACTTTTTTATTTTTTGTAGAGCCTAGGTGTCACTGTGTTGCCCAGGCTGGTCTTAAACTCCTGGTCTCAAGTGATCCTTCCACCTCGCCTTCCAAAGTGCAGGGATTACAGGTGTAGGCCACCATGCCCAGCCTATTTGCACAACTTTTAAATGTAGATAGAAACTGTAGATTCTTCAACATGTGAGGTGCTTAATTATTTAGAGCATAAGATTGGAAGATTGGAATTGAGAGAATCTGAAAAAAAGAGTTAAATTAGATGTAGTTACTGATCTGCAGGTATTGTAGTTAATGTGTTTTGAAGGGAAATATTTCAAGAATTTTAAGAGCAGAGAAAGGTGATTGGGGAACATCAGATACTTAGGCGTTGTAATTTTATATTATTCAAGTCAATTCAACAAATATTGAGCATTTGCTATGCATCAAGCTATGTTAAGCAACTATGTAAGGAGCAAATAAAGATACAGCCATAACACATGAGATTCATATTTTGGTAATAATTTCTGAAATCATGAAGAGTTGAATTGTGTTCTTTAGGCATACTTAAAATTGTTTTTTAATTGAGACTTAACATTGGCGATGGGTCAGTTGAGTGCTTCTTGAAATGCGCTATACTAGGCATTTTAGGATATAAAGATTAAATTTTTGTTTTTAGGAATTTGAAATCCAGAAGGGGATATATTTGCATAAACATTTACAGCATAAAGAAACATTTGTAAATACCTACATGGGTGGTTTGAGCTACAGTTTGGAGTAAGTTGTACGGGTTCATTTTTAGCTTATGTAATGGAAATTAGTGGAGATAGCTCAGAAGCTGCTATTTATTGGGCACTTATTGAACACCAGACTCAATGCTATTGGCTTTTTACATTTTCTTAGCTTCACAGCAATATATATCTTAATAATGAGGACACTGAGGCTCAGATATGTTAAGTTACTTGCCTGGGCTGTATGGCTAGCAAGTAACAGCCCCAGTTTGAATCCAAATCAATCTGGTACCAAAGCCTGTGTGTTTCTGCTGCATTTTGTTGCTTCCCAATAAAGTGATAAGCTCAGTTTAATGTTACAAAGAGTAAGACTTTTCTAAGACAAAGATTTATGAATTGGGAGTAGGTTGGTGAAGAAGGCCTTTCAAATAGAATGATGTGAGCAGGAGTGTGGCGGTGGGAAAGTTCATTGTGTACTTGGAGAAAAGTTAGTGGACCAGATTACCTAGAATATACTGTTCATTTTGGGATTTAGAGATGAAGTTTGAATTTTAATTTGGGGCAGGATTGTGGAGCATATTTAAGTGCTGCTTTTAAAAGTTCAACATTTGGGGAAAGAAAGAAGTTTGACATTTGGGAAGTAATAGAAGTTGCTAAGGTCTAATAGAGTAGTGTGCAGAATGATTTAATGTGGAAAGCTGACTTTCGATATAGTATAAGCACTGGGCAAGGGTAGTGGTAATGGAATTAGAGCAAAGGCTCTGCAGGACCTCAATGTAGTAGGTGGATGGGGAGGAGGTGATTGTTGGAGAAGATTTAGAGGAGATGGAAAGTGAAGGTTACACTTTATAAGTCTTGGTGATGTTGATGGTGGTACTCTTACCAGAAATATGGGCAAGGAGATACATAATGAAATCAGTTTGGAATTTGTTAAGTTTTTTATATACTTGCCAAATGCTGGAAATGCCCAAAGGCTTTTGAAAATGTGGATTTGTGATTCAGGAGTGAGGTCAGGACTAGGCATATATTAAACATGGGTTTAGTGAATAATACAGATAGGTGTACTAGTTGAATCTGTGTAAGAAGATTAAAGTGCCAAGGGAGAATGTAGAGGGGAAAGAAAAAGAAACTTCTATTTTAAATGGGATTTTTTTTAAAAAAACAGAAGGAAATACACTAAATGGATTATTTTATGCAGTGGGTAAAGAATTTGATAGTCTGTGTATTGCCCCTTCATATTGCAGGTTCACATGGAGTAGAATCTGATCATTAAAAATTCAATTGAGAAAAAGAGTTTTCTTGCCCTTGCTAGCAAGAATACTATGCTGTCATTACCCTATTCAGGGAGGACAAACTATTTCAGACTCATTTCATCCAGAGTGTCAGATTTGGTTACTTAAAAGCTATGTTAGGTTGTTTCTTTTGGACATTTGTTCGGCAAGTGATACGTGAGGAGTTGGAAGCAAATCTTTGATACAGTATTTCACTTATTTATGTGTATGACATTGATTTTGGTTTCAACACCAAGAACCTCTGAATATTCAAAGATAATATTTATGTCTCATTAAGGCCATTGATGTTGCTTTTTATAGAAAATGGTATTTAATTACATATTTTTCTTCCAACTCTATACAATAAGTACTTTTGATTAACATGAGTAGTTTGCGTTATAATGTTTGGATTATATTAGAGGGATAGAATAAGGTACTCTTATCCATTATATAATAACACATGAAAGTTACATATTTTATTTTGGAAACTTTAAGAACTGTAAATTTACAGAATTTTATGTGGTTTTCTGTTTAGGTATTTAAATAGGGGAACTTGAGTATTAATGTGTAAAAGATTCTAATAGTTTGCAGGATGAGGCTTAGAGTTGTAACTTTTTGAGAGCAAGTTTATTATTTTTAGACTGAGTTACCATGGAAGTGTTTATTTCCTTCTTGAGAATACATTCCTTTTGTTTTTCAGGAATATGTTTTCCACTGTATCACAGGCACTTGGGAATGTCGAAAGAGTCCTGCGTCAGTGTTGTTGGAGGCAGGGGGTTTTGTGTGTGCTTTGTCTGGGCTGTTTGGCTTAGTTTCAGTACGCCTGGTATTAATGAGGCAAAGGTCAGGAGTTCCATTTAGCTTTGGTCTAAATGATGGCCAGGGAGTACACCCCTCACTCCCTCCAGCTGTCTTGGAAATTCTTTGGTTGTCATTGGTCACAAAGGTGACTAGATGGGGGTGGATTGTTACACCATTGGAAGAATATTCTAATATAGAGGAATCTTAGGGTAATGGCTAGGACCTCTGACTCTAGAATTAGATGGACCCATGTCAAAATCCTTGGTATTTGAACTTGGTAGAGTCCCTAAACTTCTCCAAGCATACATTTCCTCATTATTGTGAATAGGTTAATTTTGGTTTGGTTATTACCTAACATTGCTTTCCTTTTCTAAGTGGGAGCTAGTCACTTAAACTTGTGGCTCCCAAAATGCTGGACTGTGAAGTAGTGTCAGTTCATGACAGAGTTTTCCTTTGAGTGAAAGGAGAATGTAGTTAGCTTTCTATAAA